GCCCCAACACTGCATGCAGAGAATGACGTCAAAGAGGCCTTTTATGCCAACCTTAACAAAGTGCTAGTCTCTATCCCCAGAGAAGATAAGGTTGTGCTCCTTGGTGAGTTGAATGCCAGAGTTGGCAGAGATGCGGACATTTGCCAGGGAACCATAGGGAGAAATGGACCAGGCAAGTGCAATCCCAACGGCCTACTCCTCCTCAGCAAGTGTGCTGCACAGAACCTCACTATCACGAATACCCTGTTTAGGCAGGCCGACAAGTTCAAGGGTTCGTGGCAACACCCACGATCCAAACACTGCCATCTCAATGACTACATCATTATCAAAGAAAGAGATCGCCGAGATGTGCTCATCACCCGAGCCATGCGTGGCTCAGACCACTGCGACACTGATCATCGGCTCGTCAGAACCAAGCTCTCACTTCACGTCGCCCCAAAACGGCGAAGGCAACAAGCCTCCAGAAGAGGTTTTAATACTAAGCATCTGGAGGATCCAGGGGTAGCACAAGCTTTCAGAGAGCAGCTCGAAAAAGAGCTGATAAACAACCTGACAACATACGACCCAAATCCCAGTGTCGAATGGGGTATTCTCGACACTGTCATGACAAAAACTTGCAGAGAGGCCTTCGGTCAGATCGAAAGAATACACCAGGACTGGTTTGATGAAAATGAACTGGCAATCAATGTACTTGTCGATGATAAATGTGGTTTTAACTGACTGGCGGAACAACCCTCAGTCTCGGACCAAAACTGATACCTTCTGCAAATAGAAAGAAAAGGTCCAGCGCGAACTTTGCAAACTAAAGAACGACTGATTTAAAAATAAAGCAAGTGAAACACAAAAATTTGCAGATCAGCATAAGATTCGCGAATTTTCAAATTCCACTAAATCATTTTATGGGACAATCATTCATGGTGCAACCCCCCTCTGCTCATCCGACAGTAACTCCCTGGTTAAAAACGAAGAAGACATCCTTCAGCACTAGAAATTCGCTGCACAATCGAAACACCGATGTGGATGTCCTGACTACCCAGCAGGTCTCTCAGCATCCAGAGCTGGCCCACCACAGCTATCCTCGATCCCTGGGTGAGGTAGCTACTACCATCAAACAGATGAAAAAAAACAAAGCCTCAGTGCCTCTGTTTACCAGCTGTCTCCACTCTCTGCCGGAAAATATATGGGAAAAGGAGGAAATCCCCAAGCTCTCAAAAATGCCTCCGTCGTCAATATTTATAAGAACAAGGGAGACCGGTCAGACTGTGGCAACTACCGTGGGATGTCGCTGCTGTCCGTAGCTGGCAAGATTATCGCCCAAGTCTTCCTAAACAGACATCTTCCTGAGGCGGAAAACTTCCTCCCAGAATCTCAATGTGGCTTTAGACCCTCACTTGGCACCACTGACATGATCTCTGCTGCCCGCCAGATACAGGAAAAGTGCAGAGAACAGCATCGTGACCTGTACATGGTCTTCATCGACCAAACCAAGGCTTTCGACTTGGTTGACAGGGAAGCCCTCTGGCGGACCCTCAGCCTTTTTGGCTGTCCATCAAAATTCATCGCCATTGTGAGGTAACTCCACAATGGCACGAACGACAGTGTCCTGCGCAATGGTACGCAGTCTGACTTCTTCCCCGTCCAATTGGGGGTAAAACAAGGATGTGTACTGCCACCAACTCTGTTTTCCATTTTCTTGGATGCCTTCCTTACTCGTGCCGGTGCTAATTTAGCCGGAAGGGTGGACATCCAGTACCTGATGAAGGGTTTTTTCAGCATAAGACGACTCCAGGCAGAAACAAAGGTGTCGGCAGCTTCCATTACTGAACTTCACCATGCAGACGACCTTACCCCTGTCGCTCAAAGTGAACGCGATTTATTGGAGATCCTGAACACCACCTATGCAGATGCGTATGCACACTTCGGCCTTGAGGTGAATGTACGTAAGACTCCGATTCTCTTTCAGCTTGCCCCTGGTTCAGTCATACCTCCACCATCCAATCAGCTTAACAGTACTATCCTCTCTAATGTTACCCACTTTCAGTATCTCGGCTCTCACCTGTCCACCACTGCGAACATCGATGAAGAGATTCAATGTCCTGATCAGATATGCATCTCAAGCCTTTGGAAGACTCCGTACCAGTGTCTTCAGCTATAGGGAGCTGAAGTTGTACGTGTATCGAGCAGTGCTCCTCCTCGCCCTGCTATATGGCAGCGAGACATGGGTCACATACAGGAGACACCTCAAGGCACCTGAAGACTTTCACCAATGTAGTCTACATTCCATCCTCCGAGTTCGCTGGGGAGACAAGAGAACAAATGCCAGTATTCTCGCTGACACCAACTGTAAGAGCATCGAGGTTACTATTATCCATGAACAACTACGTTGGACTGGCCATGTTACCTGCATGGGCGATAGTAGACTGCCAAAGCAGCTACTTTACATTCACCTAACGAATAGTAAACGTAATGCTGGCAGGCAACTGAAAAGGTATAAGGATAGTCTTAAGACAAATTTTCGGGGAGAACCACACGAGAAGGTGTCAATACCTTCGAATTAGCCCGATTGCAAACCGAGGCAGACAAGCGCCAGCATCGGAAAGACGCTGCTTCAGCCTCTCCCACACTAGATGTAGCCCTCCACATGTGCAACATTGAACGACCCTGCCGGTCCCGTATCGGCCTCTCTAGTCACCTCAGAGCTCAACAACGAAGGTGACATCCTTAATAACTCATATCATTTTATCATAGCTGGATGATTGTCATACTCAATTCCGAGTGACAGCAAAGTAGTAGTAGTAGTGTGTGTGTGTGTGTGTGTGTGTGTGTGTGTGTGTGTGTGTGTGTGTGTGTGTGTGTGTGTGTGTGTGTGTGTGTGTGTGCTATCAACAGTTATCCTTAACGCCTTGTCCGTAGATTCAAGTGAACTCTACGATATATTTCGCTCACAAACTGTACTATAAACCAGTGTATGATACTTGCAACACTGGACAATGTATTGTAATTGTACCATTGTTCAAATATGATTATCATACTACTGATGATAGTATGATCAATATTACACCACTAACCAAAGCATGATAACTACATTAATTTTAACCAACGTATGATAATTATACCAAAGAGCAGGGTACCAAAATTTCTGTTTGATGATAATTTTACCAGCGAACTAAGTTTACTAAGGAAGCTACATTTATAATAATAATAATAATAATAATAATAATAATAATAATAATAATAATAATAATAATAATAATAATAATAATAATAATAACCTGAAGAGACAAGCCTAATCTCCTAAACAAGATTTATATAAATGCCAACACACTCAAATCATTTAAATAATTATATAAATTCACGCGGCATATGCTCACTTTTGTGGTTTTGAAGCGCTAACAGGGTCATTAAAGAATAAAAGAGTATACACAGTCCTTTATGGTTACGAAGAATTAAAAATCTACCTCCAAGGGAAATTCTTTGAGACTCTCCCCGTGAGGCATCCCGGCCCGGACAGAGGACCTTCCGTTTTAAAGAATAATTGCTTCCTTAGGTTACTGTGCGTCGGGAGCCGGCTGTCCTTATTTGGCTATTATTATGAAGACTCTATAGTGGAAACACTTGGCTGCTATATGAACGCCTCTTTAGTGGTAATTCTGAACTCCTCTACAGTGATAATAGCTATTTGTAATTTGAACGCCTCTATACCTGGTTGTTATGAAGACCTCTATAGTGGTAATGCTTGGTTATTATATAGTGTTATAACAAGTGCTACATCAGTCATCCGTATTGGTAACCCAGATGGAATATACTGTAGAAATCTGTTGTTTGTTGTTTTAAGTTTTACTGTGTTTTGATAACTGTTTGCACCAGATTCGGTTATGTCAAATCAAACACTAAACAGCAACTTTTAAGAATTATGAAAGATACAGCTTTCTTATTCATGCCTGATGTTGATCAAAATTTAAGTTAATCGCTAAAAATTTTGTTATTCTATTAAGCATTCAAGTTCTCGCATAAAAAATCACGAACAACTTTTAAATGGCTTGTCGATGTCCACCATTTCAAAGCCTTCATATTTTTTCGTTATATATATATATATATATATATATATATATATATATATATATATATATATATATATATATATATATATATATATATATATATATATATATATATGCTGATAACCACAAGGAAACAAGAAAACACGAAGTTCCCAAGACTTTCGTGTTTTCTTGTTTCCTTGTGGTTATCAGCATGTACCTGGATCACGCACACCTACAGTGATTTACTTGCGTATATATATATATATATATATATATATATATATATATATATATATATATATATATATATATATATATATATATATATATCACAGTATTACGTAAATTATCATTAATTTGCTCTTCATTAACACTGTAGTTAATCTGAATATATGCATGTAAGGGATTAATTCACTAGACGGGTAAAAATACAACTTAACCATCTAATTGCCTTGTTCACAGATTATACTGTATGTACTGTACATGCTTGATATTACTGCATTATGAATTTGTTCTCATTAGCAACAATATTAACACTGTATGATGGTAGGTCAGGTAATCTATAACAAACACCAAAGATAGAATTCGTAATATTATTATTATTATTATTATTATTATTATTATTATTATTATTATTATTATTATTTCCTACAGTAATCACACTTTCTGGACTTTGCCTTTGATCCGTTGGTAAACTTTTCGGGGATTATTGGCTAAGTCGGTCGGTCTCCCTGTCGGTCGCTTGGTCTATCGGTCGCGTGGTCTGATGGTCGCGTGGTCCGTCGGTCGCGTGGTCCGTCGGTCGCGTGGTCCGTCGGTCGCGTGGTCCGTTGGTCGCTTGAAACAGGAATCTCCCGTCTGTAAATAATTGTGTATTTTTTTTTATGTTTCAGGATCTAAGATGAACGCTGGTCATAGAAACGTTTCAACAGACTTTTTCACTTGTTCACTTTTCAGGCTGTGGCTTGGTGCTGTCGGGCGAGGGGTCATCTATCAGCACACCAACAGTAAACCTACACTCCCCTACTACTACTACCACACACACACGAACATTACTCACCCACACACTACATAGACAAATATAAACACGATAAACACACACACACACACACACACACACACACACACACACACACACACACACACACACAGCAGTAGCACATTAGGAGCCAGACGACTACTGACAGTATACTAAGCTGCTCCCAAGATGAGGAGACCGAGTCCTTCGCTTCTTTTAGTAACTATCCTTCTACAGGCAGGTAAGCATTCTGTTAATGACCTAAAATCCTTCTTCAGGTAGGTAATAATCTTGCTAATGACCTAAAATCCTCTTATAGGCAGGTAGACAAAATATAAAGGATCTACAATTTCCTCTGAGATATTCTACCCTTAAAATCCCTTTATTTCCTTGAATCCTCTGACCCCTTAAATCCTTTCCTTTAAATGTAATCCCTTTAAGCCCTCTGCATTATTGATCCCCTACCTCTTAAGTCCCTCAATCTGTACCATAGTATATCAGCCGTTTTCTCCTCTGTTCCAGGAGTAGATATATTGCATAACGCTGGCCATTACATTCCATTCCAGGTCATTCTCGCTTATTCCATGTCATTCCAGTACACTCCAACCCATTCCGGTTTACTCCATGACACTCGAGCAAATTCCAATCAATTCTCGGCTATTCTAATCCATTTTAGAAAACTCTTATTCATTCCACGTCCATTCATCACACACCACACATCAATCCAGAGGAGAACTGATGGAATTTGAACTTTTTTTTTCTTCTGTAGAATGTACAGTGTTGTCTTGTCAGTAGTACCTACATTAAACTTTTAAGGAAACTTTGACATGTATATCAGGTATTTACTGTACATACAGTATATGTTGGCCTATATTACACAATGCTCCGCGCAGAATTCGATTCTTAGACCTGAGCACGTCAGTTCTAGGCGATAACCAATACAGCAACCAATCAATTATGTTGCCATCCTTTCCGTCTGGGGGTTGGTGGTCACTTACCACTTCTGAAACTTTTTCGGGTCGTCAACTTAGATAAGTCTCTCCGAGAGCACATCTTTCAGTTTTATTCATGACGTTATAATGCTCAAATAAAGTCTTTAAGCACGTAACGAAGTTAATTATTACACTGGTCGATCAACAATTAAAAATTATAAGACACTGTAAAACTTTTTTCTTAATTCATTTACCTAAGTCTCCACCTTCCCCTGCCTGTCCTCCATGACACTACAAACACCTGTGACTTATAGTTGACACTTCTATTATGGATATTTGTTGTGGCCAAGTAAGAAGGTTTGAATTGTGGACGCATCAAGTGTGTATCTATCTATAAAAGTATATTAACTCGTGGACAAGGCTTTAAATCTGTATTTCTATTACCAACGTGAAACTTTCATGTTGTATGAGTGTGTTTGTGTATGTACAACAATGCATGTATGTATGTATGTATTTGACCTTGTACGTACATGTCTGTATGTTCAAATATGTCTGTGTATATGTATGTATCAGAGAGAGAGAGAGAGAGAGAGAGAGAGAGAGAGAGAGAGAGAGAGAGAGAGAGAGAGAGAGAGAGAGAACTTGTAATTATCAACCAAAAAACTCAATTCACATCAATTTCATTAATATTTAACACATAGTTATCATCAACTTACCTTTAACCGTTCCTATCAACCTAATCTAAATCATGTCTACTCTTCTATTCATACTCATCACATTAAATCATTCAATTATTCTCCCTTAAAAGCACATAACAAACATCCAATGAGTCAAAAAGCACACATCCAACAAGGCCAAAGTCTTTATAACTTTGGTGGCAAGAGCGAGATTCACATCCCAAACCATTCAACTTTCACCTTAACGACTGAGTTGAGAGAGGGAGAGGAGTGAAAACGCGTCTCTCTTCTTTATTTCAATATTCATTTTTTCACCTAATCAGTTTCCACGGTAATATGAAAGGCGATCATTACACAGCTGTGAGACGCGTAATTGGCGGGACCTGGAAGAGGTGTGGGTCTCGTTTGAAAAGGTCGTGGGGAGTCCTTCGTTAAATAGCTCCTCCTCCTCCTCCTCCTCCTTCAGTGTACGTGCTCATGATGCCCTTTATCCCTGGAGATGCTCTCGCCTGGGTCATCTTAGTTCGGACTTTATTATTACCTATGACAAATAAGTCCAGTATTAATATACAGCACAGGGTGCTTCGGAAAAACGTTTCATAATTCTGGGACGTATTCCTGAGACATACAGTACACAAGTATAAATGACTTCATGACCATAGTATTAAAACCCCATACTTTCGGAATTATAAAATCTACGAGGTATAAATGAGATATCTAGTGCTATTAGTACAATTTAATTACAATCATATGCACTCTCATGTGGATTTTATAATAAATGTTTAAGGGACACGTTCGAGGACCCCTGGGGTGTTGGGAATGCTTGTGGCACTGTTTGCACTCGGTACCACAATTCCTCGAGTTGGGACTTTACTTTTAACGTGACCCTACAACTAGAAGTCAGGGGTATTTAGATATGATGATCGAGGTGGCTAAGGAACAGGGTCGCCACGCCCTATCCACCTGCGTTGTTACTCGACCAAAATTAGCTGGCACACCATCATGTGTGTACAGTACCACAGTTGTTGACGTATCCTGATGGCACATCCTCAAGCATCACTGGCAAAGTGTTCTTAAGAAACTGTGTGTATGTTTCACCTGTCAGTCCCTGGGGTTAGCAGATATGGGCCATTGGGCCAACAAGGTGGTCACCAATAATACCGGCCCAAACATTGTTTGCGAATCGTACCTGATGAGATGTACGTGTCATTGCATGTGAATTGTCAACAGACCAGGTATACGTATTGAGTACATTAACAAACGTTGCTTCATCTGCAAAAAGCACCAGAGATGGAAACAGACGGTTTTGAGCTTACTGCCTAAGCAGCCATTGACAAAACTGCAACCACTGAGGTATAGTATTTTTCAGTTACATGTTGGACCTTTTGATGGTGGTATAGATAAAACTGATGTTTGCGTAGGGTCCTCCAAACGGTAGACACGGACACCTGCACATTGTCGGCGATTCTCGAATACTTGTCCCAGGATCGTCTTCAATGATGGCCTTCTTCTGCCAATTGTAACTGCACGTGGTCGAAAGGTATCAGTTTCTCGTAACCGACGATCAACGCGAGAAACGTTGGACGTGAAAGCATCGTGTGATCCGGATAACGTTCCCTGTGCAGCCCTACGGTCTCCGCTGCATTTCCTCCAGCTGCCCCTGGTGTGAGATGCATATCCACATATTCGCTTAATGAATACTCCTCCATGTCTAGGTACTGTACGTGTGCTTTCCCAACCTTGGACTTTGGACCACTGCAGATTACTTCTTCCCCTGCGGGTTGGCATATTTGTGTCTGGCTTCAGAAACAAGCGCGTGACAACTTAAGTTGAGGGTGTCAAGGGCAAATAGGTAGTAAGTAGAAGGCAGCTACCAAATAGGGAGGTACTACCGCCTGGGAAGATCACTCGACAGCCGGACCCGGAGCTGTGAAGACCGCCCTCTCTCTGCTGCCATTATTGGCCAACTTTCCTGACCGGACCATCCGCTACTGACATCGTCGACAACATCTCACGAGCGTTTTCGGTTTATCAAGCATTAGTTTGCCCTCCCCACTGGTGGTGTGAGTGACCCACACTACAGCTGTAGAACAGCTATAGCATGATATTCCCGATGTGGTTTGAGATCTTTTCCTTCTACTACTATTTTTCCTTTTTTCGAACTGGCCTAGGGACCTGCACCCTCAAAAGTGTATTCGTCCTGTGGTCCCCCCAGTAACTGTTCACCTCCCTCCCAGGAGATTGTGAACACGAAAGGGGGTTGGAGCAAGACCCCATCCCTCTACCGTGGCTTTCCAGGAAAACCGTGATCGTGCGGGTCCACCTGGAAAGAGGGTAGCAATCCTCATCCTTACGCAATAAGCACACTTAACTCACGTCTATAAGTGAGCAGTCACATACACTAGGAAGTAGGTTTCCCCAAACGGGGCTCCGGGAGAGAAGCTCAGGAACCACTCTACGACCACCCGGCCATCAAGTGCCTGTGGGGAGTGTTGAAATTCCTCTGCTACTTACTCAACCGGAATAGGTAGGCTCTGAACAACAACAAAAGAACTCCAAAGAAGAAGAAAACACCACTTAACAACCGGTTATGGAGTGCGTACGCCCTCCTAACCGCGATCCCCGCCTGAACCGCCAACCCGACGACCCAAACCACGACAGGCTCCGCTCAGAGAAAGAGGACTAGCTGCGGGCCTTCCACGAATCATGAAAACCAAGAACAACGTCATCTACACCACTGCCACCGCCCCTAACAACTCCACCACCACCACCACCACCACCACTGCCACCGCCACTGAGGACGACAACTGGACGAAGGTTGTAAACAAAAAATGCCGACGTGCTTTTTCGGGAAGCGAAATCCGTCAAGCAGCCCAAAAGGCACCCATCACCACCACCAGCTCGCCCCGAACGACACTGCCAAAATTCCGGATCTTGAAAACGGACACGAAAACGACTTATGCCGCCAACACAGAGATGGAGAAACAAAATCCTCTGGCCAAGTTCTCAGTGCGGCCCAACTTAATGAGGGAGATAATTATTCACCCCAAAGACAAGGACTCCGCCACCACCCTCGACACTTACCTGAAAAACACCACCACCGTTGCATCAACCAAGCTGGACCCCGCCCAGAAACTGATGAAGTCGGTAGTCCTCCAATCCCCAAGGGAGCTACCCCTCGAACCCCTGGAGAACCACCCGAAGATCCTAAAAGCCGAGAGATGCTCTCCCCCGACCGACAAGACGGCCACCACAAAACAAGTGCTCATAACGCACTACGGTTCACCCCCCAGCACCATAGACCTCAAAACCTGGGGAATCTACGGAGTGAGGCCCTTCGTTCCAGAGTCCCTGCGGTGCTTCAGATGCCAGAAATACGGGCATCATCAGACGAGGTGCACGTATAAGGAAATCTGCGCTGTCTGCGCGCAGAAGCAAAGCACACACTCGTGTCTCACCAAGCTGAAGAAGGGGGAAAAAATTGTCCCCAAGTGTGCCAACTGCGGGGGCAAACACCACGCCTGGAACCCTCGATGCCCCGAGAGGACAAAGAGGGTCCAGGCAAACCGACCAGCAGCAAGACCGGCCCCCACCGCCTGCACACCAGCCTCACCAAGTACCTTCGTGTAGGG